TCCTACTGTATTTCTCAAGATTCTCAACATAATTCCAAAGAAGTCTGTAATGTTGTCAATCCTGACCTGGCATTTCGACTTCAGTCACTTTCTCACTGCTGTGACATGACTTCTGTCTCTCTTTCTGTTGTGTATGATACACCTAATTTACATAAGCGGACTACCGACCATATAAATATGGGTTGGTACCGGAAGACGGGGAAGATAGTAGAGATTAAGAAATTGAATCCAGAGACTCTGCCCGACTGCGATTTAGTCAACCCATTATGCAGGAACAGTCTTCCCAAGAATATACCAAACTAACTGTAAATATTGTGTACCTATTCTTTGTTTCAATACATTTTGTTAACGTACATTTTGTGTTGTATTATTCCATGCTTATTTAAGCTTCAACACTTTCCTATAAATATTCTCATGGCAGTTGCTCTAATGCACTCTCCTCTTTGGTTCCTAGACTACATGAATTTAAACATACTACTAGATTGGCAGTTAGGTCTCATGAAATAGCTGTAACTGTAAATTCTATTCTAATAGTTTCTTCTCTCATACTTCTTTTCCAGTTTCTTGCTTCCCTGCTACCTACAATCTTCAAAAATTTAATTTGCAACATCTATCACCATCTTCCATCACCCAGCAATCTGTGTCTTTTATTGTTTTTTCTCCGCACTAAAGTCTTCTCATTCTCTTTCACTCCCAATAACCACCTGTGTCTTAGTGGCATTATCACCTTGCTTGGAGTGAAATGATAAAAAAATGCAATGTAAGATATTTAATTTAATGCAGATAGTTACTTTTCTATAATAATAACTATTAAATATTTTAAGTCTTTCCTTGCAGTAAGTATTATACTTTTTTAAAGCCGTATCCTTTCAGGAAATTGGCAATCATGTCTCTCCACAGATTTTTCTTTATTATCTGTAAACTGCAGTGCATTCTTGGGAACAATAGTGAGGTGGGTTCCTATTGCCTTTTCTAGAGTTTTCCTTCTCTTAAGCTAGGATGTCTACCCTTTTATTTAAATCCATGTCTGACAGGAGTAAAAGAGAAGGATTCATGCTGTCCCTAAGAGAATTTATGTGAAAGTGAATGCAAAGATATGTAAATAAACTACACTTTACAGCCCCTTCCTCACAGATGAAACGGTGCAGATCTCACACTATTCTCTCATTATTTTTATGATAAATGTTCTGATAAACTACATTCATGTGTTCCACCAGTTCAGACTGTCACAGCTAAGACCTGCCATGCTATGTACACTGGGATCAATAATCTACATTCCTTTGTATCCCATGAATATGAAGGAAGTTCCATTCATATAATTTCTTACCAAGAACCACTACATTTTGGAACAGACCCCAGAGAGGATGCTTCCTCGATTGCTACAATTTTAAACTCTTCAAGTCATATCATTCCTATGTGTCTTTATAATCTGAATTTCTTACCTCCTCCTCTTATTTCCACACATCAGCCTCATTAAGAAACCATCTAGCTTGGGTGAATCTTGGGCCTTATATTGGTTGAACAATTAATAAAAAAAAAGAAAAAAAAAAGAAAAAGAAAAGAAAAAGAGAATCCAACACAGAAATTGAATCTGGCTTGTCAATTTAACTTTCTGAGCTGATATCTGTTACATTATCTGCACAAGCATTAGTCTATTAAAATTTGAAATGTAACATTCCAAAGCAATGAAGCAAATAAGTAACAAGGAAGTCTTAAATAAAATGGCAAGAGAAAGAATACATACACAGGAAAAGATAACTGAAATTTCTTTGATACATAATGAGGAAGAAGGGTTTAGTAAACTTAACCATTACAAGTCTGAAGGCAAGAAAAATAAGAAGGACAGTAAGTCACCCTACCTGGCAAGCTTGTGTGAATGGATGACAGGAACAGGAGGTGGGAGCCTTAGCAAAAGGGAAAAACTGCTATAGGCCACAAGGGATAGCAAGTTTTGGAGAGCCATGATCACCAACAAACTGAAGGGATGTGGTACAAAAAAGAAGAAAACTATAAAAAAAAATGCCAGTTGAATTTTATGGAACTTGTTTAAATGAGTACTTGCTGCCTAAATGTAGTGTGCGAAAGGTTTTTCTTCCTCCGTATGAGTTCGAATCTTTCGTCGCCAAGTTGTTATGTAGTGTTTCACAGTGGAGGCTTGTATTTGTACTAAGTCAGTCCTAAAATAGGTTCGACGTACAAAACGTTAGGAACTTGATATAATAGGTAATGACGCAGAGTAATCTAGTGGTGGTTGCTGATACTTTAATATCCGACTAACGGTCGTCCGACATCGACTGACTGACCAACTCTCTGATCCACTTAGCGACTGCTACTGCTCCTACTTATTATAGGTGGGAGAGTCTATTACCTATAGAATAGGTGTGTTCCAGTATAACACTAAATATATTGAATGTGCATGTGTTAGCATGTGCATATAATGTTCTGCATATGGTAGCTTTCAATGATCCTAGATCATCTGAAGATTTTCAAGTGTTAAGGGCCAGGTTTTCCACTACTTTTCATTTTAAAGCTTTCTTAATTGACAATTGGTGGTTGTTCACTTCTAGGCTTTAATTTAAAGGAATAAGTCCCCCACTCTTAGGACTCTTAAACTAGTTTTGGGTTTGCAGGATGAGACACCATATACCCTCTTGCAAGTTTGGTTCTAGAAATTACTGATGACTCTATAAGAGAATACTGAATAAGAGCAAATCATTAGTCCCTCCTCTTTTCAATCAGTTTGAAGTATTGACATTTATTGCAGATAAAGCAGAATGCTTTGCTCAGAAATTCTCTTCCAACTCCACTCTCAACTCAGGAGTATCTTTGCCTGAATATCCCCCCACCACCCAGAGAAAAGAGTCTCTATTGAGTGATATGTATATATCTTCAACCATGGTTTCTACTATCATTTCTAAACTGGATCCTCACAAGGCTTGCTGATTCAATGGTATCCATTTAATTGTACTAAAGAATTGTGCTCCTGATCTCTTCAAATTCCTTGTTGCTTCTTGCTTTCCATCTTGTAGGAAATCTTCCTCTATAGTTTTTCTCTTTAAGAACACTGGTGAACATTCTGACCCCTTAAATTATCTCCATATTAGAATTTTTTGTCTTTTTGGTAAATAACTAGAGGCTCTAATTAATGCTGAATTGGTTAAGCAGCTCACTTCATATGGCCTTCTTTCAGATAAACCATATGGCTTTTGTTCCTCCAGGTCTACTGCCAATGTGTTAACAGCCATCACTGAATTTGCCTATCAGGTGTTAGATAACAACAGCAAAGCTCTAGTTGTGGCTTTTGATATCTCAAAGACATTCAACAGAGTTTGGCAGGCTGACCTTCTCCACAACCACAAGAGCTATTGTTGAGATGTTGTGAGTTCCCCGCGTGTCGATGTATGAATCAAGACAAACACAGTTGTAGAGGAAAATACTGGTATATTCATAAAAGCAATTAACAATAGAGTGATTAGTAGAACGAAGGTTGGTTAGTTCGAAACAATATCCAAAGTCTATAGTCCAACGGTATGTACCGGGTAAGCTTATCTGGACCGCTAACGCTGACTCTCTCCCCAGAGCTGACTTATATAAGAGGGACCAGTCCATTACTAGTTAGAAGGTGGGTGCGCCCCAACAGCTATGGTGTCTCTAGACAAATAGTTGGCATAATCCAAACATCCCTAACAAATTGTGTAATGAAAGTTCTGTTGAATGGACATATTTCTAGTTCATTTCACATTAATGTGGGAATCTCCCAGGGCTCTATCCTTGCACCTGTATTATTTCTTATCATCATCAACAACCTTCCTGAGACCCTCAGTTTCCAACTAGGTATTTATGCAACTGACATAACTTTTTACTCCTGTCTTCGTAGTAAGTCTGACATGTCAGGCAATGTAAATCTGGCAACCTTTTGCAAAAAGGACCTCCAATCAGTGGTTACCTGGGCAAGGAATGACTTGCAAATTGGAAAACCTCCAAAACAAAACTGTCTGTAATCAGCATGACTGTTGCTAAACCTCCAGGAGAGCAACTGTTTGCACTCTTTTGATCTCACATTTTCCACTGATATGAAGTGGAAAGATTATATTGAGTCAATTGCTAAGTCTATTGCTAGGAAAGTTGGTTCAATTTTTATCCTCAGAATACATCTTGTATATCTATAAATCTACCATTCATCCATGCATTAAATATTGCTGTCATATCTGGTCTGGTGCTTTTACTATATCTCTTGATTCTTGACAAAATCCAAAGAAATGTCTGTAATGTTATTGGTCCTGATCTGGCATCTCAACATCAGTCACTTTCCCACTGCTGTAACATGGTTTCTCTCTATCTTTTCTGTAAATATTTTCATAGCAATTATTCTGATAAGTTTTCGTCCTTGGTACCTTGACTACATAAATTTAAATGTGCTACTAGATTGGCAACTGGTTATCACCATTTTACTGTTGAACTAGCTAGATGCAACCATATGTTCTATTCTTATACTTTCTTTTCTCCCCTGTGAAACTCCCTTTCAATTTCTTGCTTTTCTGCTACCTACAATCTTCAGATATTTAAATGTAATGCTAATTGCCATCTTCTGTCTTCCAGAAACCAGTTCTTTTATTGTCCTTTCTATTCACTAAAGTCTTCTCATTCTCTTTTGTTCTCACTAACCCCTTGTATTCTTGTGGTCATATAATGCTGCATTTACTTCCACTTCTTGGTTTCCACAGGCAGCTTCAGTGGCTTTGAGGCACAACTTTAAAATCATGTTTCAAAATTACCAGAATTTCAATATCTGTCACAATTACATCTGGAACAGTATAGCTGAATTGTATTGATAATGATATGGTACATATAATAATAATAATAGTAATAATATCATTATTAAATATATTAATTCATAGTTTTTAGATATTTATATGAAATATATTTTAGTGTAATGGTCCATGAAAAATCTATTTTCTTTCTGTTTGATTCCCCACTTTTTTTCATAATCTGTCAACAAGATGGTAATCTCTTTCCTTCTGTGTCGACCACCGTTTGTTACCTTTCTCTTCTTCCTCTCTACACTCTTTCTGTTTGTCTGTGTCAGCTGGCAAAACCCTGTCGAGGACAACAAAGGTAATACTTGATATTGATTGACTGACCAATAATGGTCTTGGAATATTCAGGCAAATTAATAATTCCCTATTTTGTTTAGTGGAAACCATTTTCTTTCAATTTTTTTTTTTTTTTTTGGTAGTATCAATCACCAAAGTTCCATTTCACTGCCTCTGCTCAAAGCATGAATTCATTAGGAGGATTTAATTTTCTGAACATGGCAATGAAATGGAAATTGAATAAAGACAAGGAAACAACTTCAAACTCTGTTTATTCCTTCCATTCATTCTCAGTTTTTTATATTTTTTTTTCATTCATTAGCTTGTTCCAAAACTTCAGCTTGCTTCTTTAATATTTTTTAAAGGTTGTTTAATTTCCCATATTTTTTCGTCCCACCTACTTTTCTCATTATTATTTTATCTCCATCTCTCTTGCTTCATTTTTTTTACTGCATTTAATATTTAATATTCTTTTTTTATACTCTTTTTCTCTATTTCTCCACTCATATTTCTCACTTTTTCTCTATCTTTTCCTTTTGATCACTGTATATAACATACTTTCTTTCTATTACTCTTTTCTCTTCTCTGATTTCCTTTTACTTTTTCCTCTCTCTCTCTCTCTCTTTTCCTAATGTTTTATTTTCCCCATTGAACACATTACTGTCTATATTTCTTTCACTCTCTTCATTCCAGTTATTTTCTTCTATTTCTTCTCTTACTTTTTTCTATCATTTTTAATTCTTTATATTAAATAACTTTCTGTCTATCACCTCTCTCTTTTTGTTGTATAAGAATAAGTGTTGTTGCTGACACTGTGGTTTGAAACTAGATCGCCAGTGAGTAACACAGGCAATTTCATTATAATGTAGATCACATGATCATAATGGAAGTGAATAAATAGGAAGTAGTGTGATGATCCCTGTTCACTCTTCTTGTCTATCCACTATTGCTACACGTTTGCTCTCTCTACTACTATATGGATTATGATCCTCTTCTTATCATTATACTATTTGGCAATTACTGTTTGAACAAGTATTACTAGTGTTGATATTACAAGAAGGCATTACTACTAGTACCAGCGTCTATGAAGTCTCGACTATAACAAGCATTTTTGGAAGTGATAACAAGCTTTCGCTTGACATAGCAAACGTGACAAATGAAGCCATCCAACATCACAAAACTTTTTTCCTATACTTTCTATTTCATCATTTGCCCCCCTCTCTGTTCATTTTAATCTTGCAGATTCATTTTCTTTGTTGCTCTGTTTTCTCCCTCTCTGATTTTCTTTTATTTTTCTTTCTCTAAATCTCTCTTCTTCTCTTAGACTTTTTCAAACTCTCTCTCTCTCTCTCTCTCTAACTTTCTTGCAAACTCTTTTTCTCTTTGTTTTTCTATCTTCTTTTTCTCTCTGATTTCTTATCTTTCTTCTCACAATCTCCATTCACATGAATCTTTTGGATCTCTTTTTCTCTGTTCCTTCCATTGTCTTCTTTGCTACTTCTCTCTCCCCACCCTTTTTTCTCATTTTCTATTCTTTTCAACTCTTTATATCAAGTAGAGGATGTACATCTAGTGTAACAAGTATTTATATGGTAAAGTGGAATCAGCAAGCAAAGTTCAGATCCTGGGCTAATCTGTTGCATTTACTTTTACACAAATGCACTTGGGTAAGGCATGAATCCATCGCTTCACATTCTCAGCAGAAGGATAAATAGCAGACCAGGCTTTCCAGGTTTGAGTGGTAACCAGTCTAAAAGAAGCAAAACTCTGAATTCCACACCGTGAAAAAGGCAGGAAACCACTCCATTATCTTTTCCAAGAAGGCATGTCAGTTCAGAGATAACAAAGAAAAGGAATCTGTGGAGAGCCATAATCACCTACATCCAAGCAGAGTGTTACGATCTCAAACCTCTCTTCTTTATCTTTCTTCCCTCCCACTGTCTTTTCTTGTTCTATTTGGCCATCTGTACTGAACAGACTTTTTTCTCTTTGTTTCCATATCTATTTTTCTTCTCTCTCTCTCTATTTTATTTGTATCAGATTCTTCTTTTCTCTTTGTTTCCCTATCTTTTCTCTCTTTGCTTCTCTATTTGTTTTCCTTCTCTCTCTCTCTCTCTCTATATATATATATATATATATATATATATTCTATTTGTATCTCTGTACCTAGTTGACTCTTTCTTTATATCTTTGTTTCTCTATTTACTCTCTCTTTGCTTCACTATTTGTTTTCCTCATCTCTCTCTCTCTCTCTCTATTCTATTTTGATTTCTCTGCCTAGCAGACTCTTCTTTTATCTTTGTTTCTCTATCTTCTCCATTTCTACTTTTATTTTTATTTTCCTTCCTTCTCACTCTCTCTCCCACTTTCTATTTTTTTTGTCTCTCTATGCTGAACAGACTCTTTTTTTCTTCTTGTTTCTCCCTCTATCTTTGTCAATTTCTCACCCTTCCCTCTCTCTTTCTTTATTTGATTTCAATCTCTGTGCCTTGCAAACTCCCTTTCTTTTTGTTTACCTCTCGATTTTGGCTTCTCCCTCTCTCTACTCTTTAGTTCTCTGTGACTATTAAATTTGTTTTCTTTATCATATCCATTTCTACTTTTTCTTCTTTCCCTTCTCACTCTCTATGCTCAACACTATACTTCTCCTTGTTTCTCATGCTTTCTTTGATTTGTTATCTCTTCCTCTTTCCTTCTCTCGTTATCCTCTTTGAATCTCTGTACAGAACAGACTTCATCTTTTCCCTTCCAGCCAATGTCCACCTTATCATTTTGTTAATCTTTCTAATCAGTAATTTCTCATTATTCACAAATTGAAAGGAAAGTTATTTTTATTCAGATACAATGGCTATAAATTTACAAAACTGTTATCCAATATAAATAGAAATTTGCCAACATCCAAGACCCATGAGCAAAAATAGAAATTAAAACTTGATATTTTCAAATAACTTGGAGGTTTGTATTGATGAACAGATTAAAAGTTCAAAACTCGAATAAATGCACTTTGATAAAAAAATTATGTGTGTCTAATTTATGTGTCATTGTGTAATGGTTATCAAGGTCAAAAATGGAGTCACTAAACTGAGTTCAGATTCTCACCTGGTTGGTTGCATTCACTTTCACACAGATACCTTTAGAAAATGTATGAATCCTTCTGATCTCCCTCCAGCTTTTGGTAAAATAGCAAAGTAGAATTTAGAACCATGGAAAGGGTAATGAGAAACCACTCCTCTATCTTTCTCAAGATGTCAGTTTGTAGATATCTAAAAAAAATAAGCCAAGATCGTCTATGTTCTGAAACAAAATGGCATTTTACAGAATAATAATAATAATAATATATTAAATTGGATAATGCAATATCCTTATTAATTTGTGACTTGTTTTTTCTTTGTCTCTCTGTTGAGTTTTATTGAAAATCTCAGATCTTCATAACCTATGGAGCAACATTAATGATATTAAAAAAGGCTGGTCTTTTTATTCCAATTGATGTTAAATAAAATCTGAGATCTTTGGTAAAAAGCAACAAAGTGAAAGAGAAAACTTAAAAAATGATTTACAGCAGTTGTCTGTGGAATCTTTTGATATTCAAAGATATTACTTCCAGTGTTTGTTACTGCAGTAAAGAGATTTCCTCTTTGCTACCTAGACTTTACAAAATTTAAGCACAGTACTAGATTGGCAGCTAGGTCTCATCATTTTACAACTGAAATTGCTACATGTAACCATGTTAATAGTTTCTTCTCTCACACTTCTCGCTTGTGGAATTCTCTTCTGTTTTGCTTCCCAGTTAACTTTAATCTTCAAAAATTTAAATGCAATGTCAATCATTATCTTCTGTTTTCCTAATTCTCGTTCTTTTATTCTCCTCTTCCTTTCCAAAGTTAACATTATTAAGTGTTGGTTAAATCAACACTTAATGATATTAACTTTGAACATGGACACAATATCTTGACTGTGTTTTGAAAAATGGAAACATTTTATAAAACATACATACAACAAACTATTTCTTATTTAACAATTAAGATATTTAATCCTTGAAAATAGCTAAATGTATAGTCGAAAGCATTCAGATAAAAAGAACATTCAGACAGTTTTTATATAATTTATCATCCAAAAAGAAAAAAATTATTAGATTGCATGAGAAACCGTATAAAAAACTAAATAAAAACACCTTCTCTGACATATTCAATGAAATGTGCATGAAAGAAGGATTGCTGCCTAAATACACAAATATATATATAATAATAATAATGGACTCTCCCGTCGGTTTCGACATATGAGGATCTGCCAGCTTATTGATTCAGATATACATATATATATATATGAGGAAATATTTTCTGATTTCACAAAGGTTTCTGGTTCAAAATCTGAAAATCCTAAAGCAACAAAGAAAGGGCATACAATGTGGTATTTATTCTTAATTTTTCCAATTTTTTATAGATTATGAAAAAGTATGTGTCTATAATTCTGAGATGAAGTATTGTAACTGTTATATACTGTACCTATGAACACTAATGGTTTTGTCCTAGTCCTAATAAATATGTTGAACATTAGTGTAAGTGGGGGTAATATGCTATCTAACTAGCCCACCACTAGCCGCTGGCAAGTATTGTATTTTATTGATGTTATAAAGATTACCATTTCATTTACAATCTCTGTTTTGGTCATTCCTCATTTAGTAACCCTTTTTAGGTTGCAAGAGTAACTGTTTACATTACTTACAATGCTCAAACTGTTGTCCTCATCTTTGTTGTGTTCATAATGTTTCAGCCTTCTTCAGGTGATTGGAATTTTGAACTGGACCCTTTATTTTGTCCGCCGGAGTAGATTGTTCTAATTCAACATGCCATACTTCTTCCAGATATCTTATTTTCATTTATTTCCTCTTAGTAGCTCAACTGCCCAAGTTTTTGTTCACCTCTGCTGTGGCCAGGTATTGAACTAACAACTCTTTGGGACAAGTCATTGGATTACTGAAACCAATGCTTTTATCCACTGGGCCCATGTGTCTTCAAGGAAAACTTGGAGAGTTGACTTAAAGTGAATTAACTGATACTGAGATATCTGGAAAAGGCATGGCACATAAAACTAGAACAATCAACCCAGGTGGATGAAATAAAGGGTTTGGTTCAAAATTCCAATCACCTGAAGAAGGCTGGAGCCTACAACAGCCAAAATGTTGTGAACATGACAACAAAGATGAGGACAACAGTCTAAACATTGTAAATAATGTAAATTATGCAAAAGTGTTTCATAAATCATCACAAAGAACTGTTGGAATGGTTATGTTGCCTTGACATATTTGGGAAGGATATTAGAATAATCCAGAACCTATAATGGGAGCAAACCACCGGCATATGTATAAAAAGTGAATTCAGAAAATATACTAAAACAGAAAGTGCACATAATGAGGAAAGAGGGCTTAGAAAATTTGACACTCACAGGATATATTAAAGGCAAGAGGAACAGAGGAAAGCTGCATATAACCTACCTAATAAGCTTGCGTAAATGGTTGGAAGAACAGGGATAGCAAAAAGACAAAATTTACCAAGAATTTTCAGCACCACCTTTGAACTATAGTGAGTTCAGTCATTGCAGAGTTTATGAACTTGTTATGCTAATCTTTATTTACTAAAATATTTACTTTTCAGCACCCACTTTATAACTGTATGTTCAGTTCTTTTTATGTTAATTCTTGTTTACTAAAATATTTACTTTTCAGCACCCCTTCGTACCTGTATTGTCAGTCCTTTTTATAATAATCTTTGTTTACTAAAATATTTACTTGCAACAGGAGCTGTTTTCCTCACCATAATCCGATACATGCTATCCTCACTGACCATTACTACTGGGTTGAATTCAGTTTTTACTGAGCATTTGACTTTTGTTGCCTTGTACCAGACTAAGGTAAGTTTTGTAAATATCTACATGTTTGTTTATATTTACTCTACAAATGCTACCCAAAACTTCTATTAAAAAAGCCTTCCAAAATCATTTAAATCATAACCTCCTTTTTGTTAAAAACAAATTTTTGCACACCTCCCCACATTTGTAAAAATCTTTTCACCCCCCCACCTCATGTTTGTAAAAGAAATTTGGGTCTTTCCTTGCCATGAATGGCCTCATACATTTCCGATAAAATCAACCATTGGCAACTTTTGTTACTGAAGACCAGATGTGCAAAAATCTACTTTGGAAAACTGCTAATGAGATTTTTCCCCTGAGGAAATGCCATACCAGAAACAGTTCCTCCTTAAGAAAAGTTATAAATTACGTATTTATTTATTCTTTAAGATGAACTAAATTTTATAATTTTTTTCATTAACAGGATGGGTGACCAGGAATAAAAAGAAATGATTCACATATATTTAACAAAAATTAATTTTATTTCTTTTCTCTTAACAAATATAATGAGATCATAAATATTATAATAAAAAATGGTTCTTTATTAAATCATTCACAGGAAGGGAGTTACTGTGGTTGTTCCATAATAATATGAAATTAAAATAGGAAGCATTGTATCATTGTTTTACTATGACAGAATTTGTTAGCATTGTTATTGTTAAATTTTAAATTTGTGGATTTTTTTAAATGTTAAAAAAGCAGTTCGGTTTTTGAAAGGAAAAATTAAAGTAACCAGCAAATAATGATCCTAAAGCTAGACTGTAAGAATAAAAACAATATTTTTTTTAATTCACTCACAATCTTCCTAAATTTTTACACAACCTCCCAAGGTGGTTTTGATCTTAATTTAGGAAGGCCTTTTATAGAGTAATGGACCTTTGTGCCCATGTTTTTTTTTTATACACACCATTATTATTTTAACTACCTTGACATCTTGAGAAAAATAATAAGATTATTAAGAGAGAACAATAAAGGAATATGAATTAAGAAGACAGTACATAACTATTGACATTGCATTTAAATATTTGAAGATCAAACTTGATTGGGAAGCAAGAAGCCGGAAGAGAGTTCCACAGTCAGACATGACAGAGAAGAAACTATTAGCATAGAACTTAGGGCTACATCTAAGTATTTCAACTGTAAAATGATGAAACTTTGCCACCACTCTAGTACTGCACTTAAATTCATAAAGTCTAGCTACCATAGAGGAAAGCTTATCAAAACAATTACCATGAAAATATTTATAGAAAAGGCACAGGGTAGCAATGTGATTGAAACCAAAATGCCAAGTCAGAACCAATAACATTGCAGATTCTTCTTTGTATTTTATCAAGAACCTCTAAATATATACCACATGTGACAGCAATATTCAATGCATAGTAGAATGGTAGACTTATAAATGTGTAAGATAGATTCTGGTGAGAAAAACCGTTTTGCCCATCACTATGAACAAGCTTTCCTCAGAGCAGATTTAGCAATTAATTAAATTTAATCTTTCCACTTCATGTCAGTAGAAAACATTAGCTCAAGAAGGTATAATGAGTCACTCTCCTAGAGGTTAGAATCAGCCATGCTGATGGAAAGCAAAGGTTCTCTCAGCCAATTAAAAGAGAGCAGTTTGATTTTAGTTCTGTTAAAATTAACAAGCCATTTTTTGCTCAAGTTA